GGAGCAGACCGGAGCCGGAGGAACGGAGGGTACGGGCAGGTAGGTAGGGGGATAGTAGGTCGGAGAGGTAGGAGGGAGCAAGGCCGTGAATGGCCTTGTAGGTGAGGGTGAGGATCTTGATAGTGTAGTACTTGTTTGTCAATTGTTCCAATTGACTGCCACATTTTGCCCACAAAACACAATCACAACACTTTACACTGTATCCTGTGAAGCACTTTGGGACGTCTCGAAGATGTGATAAGGCACTATATCAAATGCAAGGATAATTATCATTTGATAATTGGCAAGTGCAGTTTTGAGACCTCACTAGGCGGATGGCAAGTACCAAAAAACTCACTGTAAACGTTCCAGTGAGCAGCACATCATAGCATGAAATGCATTCATATGTACGGGAATTAGGGTGTGGCACACTCCCTAGCTTAATAATAATAATTATCCCTGCATTTGATATGGTGCCTTATTGCATCATTGAAATGTTTCAAAGAGCTTCACAAAATATACTGTAAAGTGGATTCACTGTATATTTTGTGGACGAAACATGGCTGTCAGATTGTACACAGCAATGTCCCACAAACAGCCATGTAATGAATGACCAACTTTATTTAGGTGATTGTTGGCCTGGACACCGGGAGAAACTGTTTTCTTTCGAATAGTGCCACAGGATCTTTAGCATCCACCTGAACAGGTAGATCGGACCTCAGTTTAACGTCTTGCCCGAAGGATGGCACCTCCGACAATGCTTATTAATAATAGTTATAATAATATAATAACATGCATGGAATTCTCAGTTTGCTTTGGATACTCTTAAGCATGGTGATGAGTTTCCACGTATGTCAGACACCCGGCTGACAAAAAAAAACCTATTTCATTGTGAGTATGAGAATAAGCTGAAAGACAATCCCTATTTGGCGTTCGAACAGTTCCACTATAGTGTGATTCAACCTTAATCTCCTACCTGGTCACCTCCTGTTAGTACTTGTAAGAGACACAGCATGACCACATCACCTGTAAGCCATTAATTATTTTTCTCTACAGCGAAACATCCAATGCTCCTCACACATCTGCTCATGCTGATGTTCTCATGGATCTCAGGATCGAATGTCTGAGTGTAGTTCAATAGACACTGACTCGCCCCCAATTACTCACAGAAATTGTGGTCTAACCAAAGAACATATGGAAGGGAGAGGTGGTTTGACTCACATTGGATTATTCCTAACAGCCTCCTAGCAACTAGGGTCCATTTTCCCTCAATATATCACTTTCTCGTTCTGGTATCTTCCTACCTCTCTGACCTGCTTTCTCCCCACTCTACTACCCTTTGCCTCCGCTCGGCTGACTCTGAACACCTGCTTGTCTCTCGTCCCCTCCGCTCCACCATCGGTGGCCGTGTTTTCACCCACTGTGCCCCGAAGCTTTGGAACTCTCTCCCACAATCCCTCCGTCTTAGCCCCTCCTTCCCCTGTTGGATCACGACTGAAGACCTTCCTCTTCGATGTGCTTATGGTCACCTCCTCCCTCCCCCCGTCTCGGTGTCAGGCTCCGTCACTGTTAAGTGCTCCGAGACTCTTCCCCGCGTGAAGGCTGCTATGTGAATGCAGGTTGTTGTTCTGCACAGTGTAGCTGAGTGAAGCTGGGAGACTTGCCAGTCTGTGCATCGCTCTCGGTGTCTCGAATATCAAGCTACAACTGAAAAGCTGATTCCTCAGCCAACAAAGTGCCTTCAGCCCTCTTACCCACAAACTGTATACAAATCCAGCTTCAACAAGCCAGAGTAACTCCCTGTGGCACTGTGACAAGCACTCACTGTTTACATTCATGCCACGGAAGCTCCTTCAACTACTGCCATTAGTAGCTTCAGGTGCTAAATGTGGACAAGATGGAAATCATCCCACTCGGCTCCCGTCAACATCTCCCTTCTCCTCTCTCCTGGCTGTGACCTCCTCAATTTGGCGGCAGAGGGAATGCTGATAGGAGATGGAGGGAATGTGTGTCAGCCCGGCCTAGTGTTAGTGCTCTCGCCTCTGAGTCAGAAGATTGTTGGCTCAAGTCCCAACTTGGGACTTGGAATCAGATTGTCTAAGATAATAATAATAACAATAATAATCCTTGCATTTGATATAGCGCTTTTCACTTCGGGAGGACGTCCCAAAGCGCTTCATAGAACACACTGTAAAGTGAATTGACTGTATATTTGTGGGCGAACGCGGCAGCCAATTGCACACAGCAATGTCCCACAAACAGTCGTAGATTGAAAATGACCAATTTATTATTGTTTTTGGTTTTGGAGGGATTATTATTAGGCTCTGTGTGGAGTAAGGAAACTTGCCCAAGGTTTCGCCCTCTGCCTGGAATTGAACTCAGGTCTCTCGCTTGCAAAGCCACTGAGCTACAGGACTCCAAGATGACACTCCAATACAGTGCTTTGGGTGTATATTGTCGGAGGAGTGCCGTCTTTCACATGAGACGTTAAACCAAGGTCTGCTCTGCCTGGTCAGGTGGATGTTAAAGATCCCACGGCACTATTCGAAAAAAAAGAAGCGAGTTTCTCTCTCCCAATTTCCTGGTCAACAATCTCCCAAATAAAATTGATCACTCACTCCACGGCTGTTTGTGGGACGCTGCTGTACACAAATTGGCTGCCGAGTTTCAACCAACAAATACACAGTCAATTCACTTTACAGTATATTCTGTGAAGCGCTTTGGACGTCCTCCCGACGTGAAAAGCGCTATATCAAATGCAAGGATTATTATTATTATTATCATTAAGTGCTTTGAGACGTCTCCACACGACGTGATAAGGCACTATCTCAAATGCAAGAATTATATAAGAGAGTTTCTGATCTCCAGTGGTTAGAAGGGTAGAAGTTGAGGTTCAGATCAGCTATGATCTTGTAAAATGTCGGAACAGGCTCGAGGGGCTGAATGGCCTACTCCTGTTCCTATGGATAAGCTATGAGGAATGACTAGCTAAGCGAGCCTTGAAAGGAGAGGAGAAAGTAAACCTGGAATAACACATCCAGAAGGTCACATTGTTCCAATCTAGTCGACCATAACACAAACCAGTTCTCTTGGAAGAATATCAATTTCTCGTTAAAGAATCAAACACACCCAGTAACAATGGATATTTATGAGTGGAACAGCACAGGCATTTTTGTTTGACATCCTGTGATTTCCTTTGTGAATTATACCATCTCAGTGGGAAAAAAACAAAGCAGGCAGCGTTTGCCTGTTTACACTTGCTGTACGGTTTGGGAATACAGTATTGTGTTGTGGTGTTTTCACTGACTCACGGCAACTCAGCTTCCCACACATCTCGCTCGGAAACAATTTCATCAGCACTTTCTTTGCCTCCTCCCTTTGTTGCAAACACCCTGAGAAAACTTACAAGTTGCCGCAAGTCTGGGCAGTGGTTTAAAGATCGCTCTTTAAATGGTATTTGGTGCCACTTTTTCCAATGGGTTTGTCTGCAATGAAAAGGTTGTCAGCTCCAGACACCTAACTTTCACATATAAATCCCTCCACATCCCTAGCACTGCCCTATCTCTCTGATCTCCTCCTACTGTGGAGTCCTGTAGGATAGTGGTTAGAGCACTTGCCTCACAAGCGAGAGGACCTGGGTTTGACTTCCGGGCAGAGCGAAACCTTTTAAATTTTTTTCCTTACTCTACACACCTCTGTTTACCTAATAGTACATAGGAATCTGGTTGTCAATCAATTGGCAGATTGCTTTCCCAGGGGATAATAACCCACACCTATCATCACCTCCCCAATCACCCTTATCGATGTCCACCCTGTCACTGTAAACAATAATAATAATAATCTTTGCATTTGATATATCACCTTATCACATCGTTGAAACGTCTCAAAGCGCTTCACAGGATATACTGTTAAGTGGAGTGACTGTGTATTTTTATGGGCGAAACATGGCAGCCAATTGCGGACAGCAGTGTCGCACAAACATTGAGGGTCGCAATTTTATTTTTGAGGGATTATTACCCCCAAAAAGCGATCTGCCAATCGACTACCAACCAGGTTTCTACTTACCATTAGGTAAACAGAGGCGTGTGGAGTAAGGAAACTTCCCTGCCCGGGAATCGAACCTGGGCTCTCTCGCTTGCGAGGCGAGCATGCTAACCACTACGCTAAGGGGACTACAACAACCACAACAACTTTGTTTACATAGTGATCTTCACTATATAAACGAAGTACACAGTAATGTTTGGAGTGCTTTACGCTTCACAGTCACAGAGCTAGGCACTGAGTAAGGAAGAGGGAGTCGACAGTAGCCACGTTCAAAGCCGTAGAAATTGATGTGAAGCACGGGGAGACATGATTCAATGTGAAGAGCGCTATATAATGCAAGTTAATGTTATTGTCGTCATCAAACTTCCTTTCTCAGATGGGCACCCATAAAATACTGAACTGGCTGGTGACATTAAGGCAAGGTTTCTGTACCATGTTTAACCCCTGCATATTAAAGTTATGATAGCATATTCTATCCAAATACAGTACTGCCCAATACTTTCCCTCATAGGCCGAAAACATGTCGTGTACAATGAATGGCACAACCAAACAGGTTTCAAAACAGAACCGTTTTCATCGAATGGAAACCTAATTTGTGTTCAGTTGAGGTATCTGCATTGCCTGATGCCATGGTGGCTGGTCAAAACCTCATCGCTTGTGCTTGTTTACTGTTCTGTCCTCCACATGGGGTGTTTCAGCATTGCAGCCATCGGTAAGTGCACATGACAGGTCGGGATTTAGGTCCCTGTGATTGTCTCACACGGAGTACTGTGTACACTGCTTCAAGGCTGGTCAGTGGGCACGCAGTGAAAGGTCCCCTTCACTCTCCGTGTGATCGTACATTCCTCACCCCCTCGGTCACCATGTGATCAGGTGATGCTCTTTCCTCTCTCAGCCTCTCCTCCCCACTGCCGTACGAGATGATGTTGATGTTATGCCCCTGGGAGAGAGTGCACAGAGAGTGTCAGGGTGAGAATGTGCGGTGTTCCGTTTGATGTAGTCGCAGGAAACACAGCTTTATCCCAGCAGCCGGTAAGTTTGATAGCGGCACGTGTGCTAGCGGGGTTACAAGTTGTGGGATTGTTAACACGACCAGAGCAGATACATTTAAGTAGATTTAATAGGAAATTCAACAGGACTTGGGCTGATGAATGATTTAGACGATTATACGATTGATGGCGATCAAACTGTGTGAGTTTTACTGTAGTACAGAACAAAACAAATAATTGACTGCCCTGAGAGACGGTCGGAGCAAATAATCCAACTCACCTCAACTAAATTTTCCAACCTTTATATACTATTTTTTTAAAAAACTTTCACAGAGTAGGACAGCACCATTCAACTGCGTCATGCAGCTGGTTTATCATGGTACTGTTCCCTCTCATTGGTCCAGTCAATATTTATCAGACCTTGACCTTAGTTGGTATATGTTTTTATAGAATTCTAATTACGTCAGTACCAATGGTCACATTTCAGCAGTGTTTTGGAACAATCCCATTAACCCGTTAATGGCCGTATCATGAAACATTCTGGATCTTTGTCTGTGTCTTGAGAGCACAAGGTTATTCATTCAAAAAAATTGTGCAGTCCTGTTGCATATTGAGTCAGAGTGCTCAACTCACAAGTGAGAAAACCCAGGTTCGATTCCCAGATGGGACAAAATCTTAGGCAAGTTTCCTTACTCCACACACCTGTTTATCTAGCAGTAAATAGGAACATAAATTTGTTCATTAAAATCTGGAAATTTGTGATACCAACTCACGAAATACAGGTCCAGCACAATCCAGTGTAGGGTGCGAGTCTGGCTCGATTAGTCGCACGCTCACATCTTGAATCAGGAGATTGTGGGTTTTAATCTCCAAGTTGGGACTTCTCATAAAGTGAAGGAAATGACTCCTAGTGTCTTGGTCAACAATCCTCCAGATAAAAAACATGGTCCTTCACTTCAGGTCTGTTTGTGGGACATTGCTATGTGCAAATTGGGTCGAATGGCCTGCTTCAATGCTGTAAAAATTCCATTTAATTTTCACACCGATTACAAAATTATAATGCTCAGCCACAAGAGGCTGTTGAAGGTAAGAGCACAACTTGTGGGTCAGCCAACACAGTGAAAGCACTCTCGCCTCTGAGTCAGAAGGTTGTGGGTTCAACCCCTGCGTCAAGACATCGAGCTCACATAGTCTTGGCTGACACTCCAGTCCCGTCTGCCTGTTCAGATAGCCTTTAAAGATCTGTGGCATTTGAAGGGAGTTTCTCCCGGTGTCTTGGCCAATAATCCTCCTGGTGAAATCAGTCGTTCATTTCATGGCTGTTTGTGGGACATTGCTGTGTGCAAATTGACTGCCAAGTACACCTACAAATACGCAGTCACTGCACGTTGCAGTAAATTCTGTGAAGTACTTTGAGATGTCACCCCCGAGGTGAAACGTACTGTAGCAGAAGTAATGAGTTTTATTTTTATCTTTTGAAGAGAATTGCCTAAGTATTTCAATTATAGTATAAGAGGTGATAACAACAACAACTACAAGCATTTATATAGTGGCCTTCATGTGGGGTAGCGTTCAGGAGCGCTTAACAATGGCGGAGCATGACGCAGAACCCATGATAAACAAGGAACGGGGAGATTAATTGGTATTTTAATGGCTGTCGTGTGGTAAAGTCCAACCTGGAACCAATTAAACTTCAAACAGTTTCTGCCTGTTTCATGCTGGATGGTTTAGTTATTAAAATATTTTGTCTGGAGTTCATCAAAATGTTTCTTTACTGTACAGAGCAGAAACATTGCTTCATAGAGAGCTTTGCTTTCTGCCAGAACAACAACTGGCATTTACACAGCGCTGTTCATTCACACAAGGTAACGTCTCAGAGCACTTCACAATGGAGGAATCCTATGGAATTTGAGACGTCTCAACGACATGATAAGGTCTTGAATCCTGCTTTAAAACCTACCTCTTTAACCATGCCTTTGGTCACCTCCGTCTCCCCGCTCCACCCCCCCACCTCCCCCTACACCCCCCGCCCCCCACCTTTCTCCCTTGCTTGGTGTCCGTCCCTGCCATTTATTCAAGGTGGTTCAAATCATTTCACAGAATATACTGTAAAGTAAATTTACTATAATTTGTGGGCGAAACGCGGCACCCGATTGCGCACAGCAGTGTCCCATAAACAGTCGTGAATTGACTGACCAAATTATTATTAAAAAATTTTTGAAAGGATTATTTCCCCCAGAAAAGCGACCGCCAATCAACTAAGAACCAGGTTCCTATTTACTGCTAGGGGAACAGAGGAATGTGGAGTAAGGAAAATTGCCAATATTTTGCCCTGCCCAGGAATCAAACCCGGGTCCTTTCGCTTGCGAGGTGAACGTGCTAACCATTATACTACAGGAGTATAACCAACACCATTTTAAAAATGTTTTAATAAAAGGTTTGGATTTGGAATTCTCATAACCTGCTGAATTACAATAGCTGCCCTCGTGTCTGGAGAATGCAAATTAGTGCCCTGATTTATTTGCCAAAAGGGAAGTTGAACAGGTCTAACTAGGTTCACATTGTTTCATCTTTATTTTGTCAAAACAGGAGATAATTCGGCTCATTGAGCCTGTTGCACCAGTTCACTAGATCTTTGCATATCTCTTATTCCCAGTGTCCCGCCCTTTCATTTTCACCCTTTATGCCTCAAATACCCAACTAGCACTCGCCTCACAAGCAAGAGGATCTGAGTTTGATTCCTTGGCACAGCGAAATGTTTCCTTGCTCCACACCTTTCTATTTACCGAGCAGTAAGTAGGAACCCAGTTATTAGTCGATTGGCAGATCGCTTCTCTGGAGATAATAATCCTAATAATTAAAATAAATAAAATAAAAAATAATAATAATTTGGTCATTCAATCCACGACTGTTTGTGGAACGCTGCTGTGCAATTGGCTACCGATTTTCATCAACAAAATATACAGTCAATTCACTTTACAGGATATTCTGTGAAGCATTTTGAGACATCTCTAATATGTGACAAGGCATCATATGAAATGCAAGCATTATAACATATTATTATCTTATTTCATTACCTCTCAAGAACACTCAGTGATCAGGACTTCACCTACATTTCCAGAGAAACCGCAGGCAGATTTGCATGAAAGATAGATTGATATCTTGCAAGATATAATAGAGCTGAGTTTGTGGTATATTTCACCTGTGCTGGATTGTGTTTTTCCCTTGGTAACAATTGCTGTTTTGATCACCAAGATAATAATAATAATCCTTGCATTTGATATAGCGCTTTTCACGTCGGGAGGACGTCCCAAAGCGCTTCACAGAACACACTGTAAAGTGAATCGACTGTATATTTGTGGGCGAACGCGGCAGCCAATTGCGCACATCAATGTCCCACATAAAGTCGTGGATTGAAGATGACCAATTTATTATTGTTTTTTGGTTTTGGAGGGATTATTATTAGGCTCTGTGTGGAGTAAGGAAACTTGCCCAAGGTTTCGCTCTGCCTGGAATTCAACTCAGGTCTCTCGCTTGCAAAGCGAATGCTCTAACCACTGAGCTACAGGACTCCGAGAGTAGAAGAAGAGGACACAGGTTTAGAGCTTTAAAGGGCAATTTCAGGACAGACATGAGGAAGTTTTTCTTTACCCAGATAGTAATTAACGACTGGAACAGGGTTCCCAGGAAGGGTGGTTGAGGTCAGGACACTTAAAAAAAAAGCTTGATGCAGTGATGGGAGGAACGGTATGGTGGATGTTCTGGAGGGATGAGGTCAGATGAGCTGAAGAGTCTTCTTCATCTGAACCAATCGTGTGATTGTGGTTGTTACTGGACAGTGAACCAAATTGGTAACACTCTTACACAATGAATGTATCTGCAAGTTGGTAGTTGATCTTCATGGTAAAGTATGACGCAAATATTTGCTGCAAAGTCCCATTTCCAACCTGCCCTTCCTAGCCAAACCTCTGGAACGCGTTATTGTAAGTCAGCTTTGCTCTCACCTCTCCCTCCACTCCTTCCTCGAGCCCCAACAGTCTGTTTTCCACACTGCCCACAGCACAGAGTAACAAAGTACAGAGTAACAAAGCTTGTCAAAGTAACAAACAATCTCCTCTCTCTCTGTGACTAGGGCTCACTCTGCCTCCTCTTCCTCCTGGACCTCTCCGTCGCTTTCGATACAGTCGACCATGTCATCCTCATCCACTGGCTCTCCTCCCTCATCAGTGGGACCGCACTAGCTTGATTTGAATCCTACCAAACAAACTGCCTCCACTTTAGCTCCTCAAATGGTTTCTCCTCCCGCCCCCGCCAAGTCACCATGGTGTATCCCAGGGCTCCCTTCTTGGCCCAATCCTGTTTGTCAAGTACATGCTCCCTCTCGGCAATGTCATCCACATGAGTCATGAGACATGAGATCAACACCCAAATCTACTTTGCCTCCTCCTCCAGCTGTGACTTCAGGCCCTCTGATATTCTGTTGGCTTGTTCGGCAGACATCAGAGCTTGGATGAGCACCAACTTCCTGCAGCTAAACGTTGACAAGGCCGAAGCCATAGTCCTTGGTTCCCATCAGCGTCTTCTCTCCAGCACAGCTCCGCACTCCACCTTCAAGAGCTCTGGGACGTTACCCTGCATGAAAGGCGCTATATAAATGCAAGTTGTTGCTGTTTTTGGAAGATCATCTGCAGAAAATTTACAACACTATTGGGGTTTGACACTTTTAAACCATGAGAGACGAAGGGATATAAAGAAAGACAGAGAACTGGCAATAAATTGGCAATAAACTGGCAATAAATTGATAAAGAACTTGGATAAACTACTACTACTATTAATAATAATCCTTGGTAATATAGCACTGTATCATTTCAGGAGAATATCTCATAGGATATACTGTAAAGTATAGTGATTGTGTACTTCGTAGTTGAATGTAATGGCTAACTTATTCACAATACTGTCCTCCAGACAGCCATAAAATGAGTAAGCAATTTTATCTAGGAAATTAGGTAATTAGCACACTGGGAGAAACTCCATTCTATTTTT